CAACACCATATTCATCCCAACACTCACTTATCAATGCCAAACATGGACCACGAGCAAGATATTAGAGCAAAGAATTACAACGTGTGAAATGCGATGCCAGAAAAGCAGTAAACAAGACCAGGCGATAAAAAATTAGAAACACAGTAATCAGAGACATGGTGGGCACAAATGATGTCATGCATCACATCCAACACCAAAGAATCAAATGATTCTGACATCTCGTGCGATTACCAACCCACCATCCAGCACAACGTGCTTACATACAAAACAAAATTCAATTGCAACAAGGCTAGAGGGAGACCGAGAAAGACATGGATAGATGGAGTCTGGGAAACATTATCAACTCACCGCATCCCCCTGACCCAAGCTCTCCAGCTGGGGGCAGAGAGACGTCTCTTTCTTCCCGCGACACCCAAAATGGTATAAACGGCGGATAAAAGTAAAATAAAGTAAGTCTTATAAGCTGTGAACAACTCTCGACCAAAGGTCGTTCATATACACGATCTTTGTCTCGGCCAACAATTGTAGAGTTTCAAAATTAGCATTGCGTTAAAATAACATATTATAGGCCTTATTGGATACTATCGAAGTGACACCACGCAGCCTCTGTGGTGTAGCGGTTATACGCACTTCGTCGCTCCACGCAGGTGGGCCAAGCTTGGATTTCCATGTAGATCTAGGGAGAATAACATTGTTCTTTGTTGAGTATCTCGGTCTTTTTTGTTGGGACGTTGTAATCCTCTCTGTCCTGGTTGGCCCTGACAGGCAGGGTCGAAGTCCGTCTCCTAAATTATGATCTAAATTGCGTCCATGTTAAAAAATACCCCCAAAACAACAACAAACAAAACAAAACAAAACAAATCGCACCATGATAACTATTATAATGTAATGACATCGTCTTTGCTGATGAAATAATGCAAGGGCAGAGATCAGATTTTCCTCTTGTAGGCCTTCTATCATTTTATTTTTTTTGCGGTCCATTAAATAATAAAACTTTTTTTTTCCCAGGAAGACCTTCACTTTAAGTTGAAGTTTGAGATTGCAAACTGTAAAGCTGAAATTTTCGCATTTTTCCTCTCTGGGCAATACATGTACACGTATTTTGTTTCGAAATCACAGTTTCATATCCTTGGAATGAAAAACCCTCTTTCTGTTTTACAAGAACTATCGATTATTAGTTCCAAGGTCCTGACTGGTTTCAGTAGCATCTGACAGGCTTCTTCTTCTTCTTCTTCTTCTTCTTCTTCTTCTTCTTCTTCTTCTTCTTCT